AAATGATCAATAATCATTTCTCTCATACGATGCAAGACATTGAATCCCGGAAAAACACTCTTCTAAACTCTGTTTTGCATGCAGAATTGAAGAACATTAGTAACAGACATTGGAGGTTTTTTATTTGCTTTTCATATGAGTCTGAAAAAGGTTGGTTTTTTCCATTACACTAGACACTGTTACACAAGGTGATTCCCCCCTCATATATCCTGATGTCATATGACTGTTATTAAGTCAGGAGAAAAACTTGCTAAAATGAATGATATGAGTGATAAAGGAAGGAAATGGGTTTTTTTAATTATCTGTATGGGGATGTTTTATTTCAGTATTCACTGGATATGTGAATAAAGACAGCTCAGAGAACACAAACACACAACAAAATCCAAACTTCCACCTGATCTAAACTACTTTTCAATATAAATTTGTTTCAGGTTATTCTAGCCTGCTTAAAAAATCAGAACAAGTTATCTCTGAATAATTCACTGCGTTATCCATGGCATGTTTTTGAGAAGAATCACACGAAATACTGTTTCTGCACTGTGTCCAACAGTTTTCTTTCAGCGTGTTTATTAGGGAAGAAGAATACTTATTTGTTCAGCTTGAAGAAATATTTCTTTTCGACGATTTCGTTTTCACTCAGCTACACAGTCATGTTTACGCTACAGGAAAAATTCATTCTCAGCTGATATCGGTTGAAATACCGCTGGATAACCAACAGGGAGTACTGAACAGCGAGTACGTAGCATGCACCCACCCTCACAGGCTTTCGAACTCACTCAGGACTTTCCCGTTACGAGTTGAGGTCGTAGATCATAAAGCCACTGAGACTCCATTTAATAGCCAGCCAATGAATTACAACCTCTGCCTGGTTCACAATATAGAGTGACCGCCAGCCAATGTCGTCGCTATCGAGCATTTATCCTCACACCCGACCTATACCCCACTGGTCTTATCTTCTCACCAGAAACCGGGTAACTACCTACCTGAAGAGAGTCAGTCTCTAGTGAGCATCAGATCGATATTCAAGTGTTAGTTTACAGGGGTTTGATTTGATTGGTTGCTGTATTTCAGCTCATGATGTCATCTTATAACCAATCAGATCAACGCAAACCAACACATGAATAAAAATGCATTAAGTGGTACCGAGAATAGCTCAGTCAATACACGCATATGATAAGAATAAAGATGATTGACATAAATGTTAAGGGAGGAAGAGTTGAAGTGAATGGATTATAAGGTTTTAAGAGATTATTAAATACGTGAATTATCATTAAAATTTTCAGAGTTAGTCAAGTGTAGTCAAAAAGTTGAAAGTGCGATTAGAAAGGGAGAAGATGCATTGAAGTGAGATGAATTCAAGTTGTAAAAAAGAATATAATAAAATGAACATTACCTATTAATAAGATGAACGAAAGGGGTTTAATAAAACGGTTCTGACTACAAACTTCGGGTCTATATTTATATATAGCTAGAGCTCCGGATATAATTAAGTAGAGAAAACGTAAACTGTTAGGTTGACTAAATTTCTTCAGGCTTTTACAGAAATTGTATGAGAATAAATAATTTGACTCAAGAAGTTGTTCCCGTATGGAGCACTTCATCATCCTATGCTCAGCTTTCATCAACTAAACTGAGGAGTTTTTAGCTTCACTTTTCCTCAGAGCATACTAACGAAGTCCAGCGTAATCAACTTCACAGGAACATATGAAAGAGGGAATCCACATAGGGGTGGACATCATTGTTCGCTTGTTCTTCATGTATCATAGAAACAAAGTTCAGCTCAACAATGCCAGGTGTACGTCAGCTGCATTAAAAGACTGCCTAATAAGCATGGACAAATGTTTTTTAATTACTTCGGAGATAATATCACCTTTGAATACCAAACTTATAGATAGGATCCTCTATACCACCATGATTTCGTTAGTAGCGATTCGCTTCTTCATATTTATTTCAATAGACCTTCGGCGGATATGATATGGGTTTGTGGCAAATCTCTTGCAGTCTGAAACATTTGTTTCTCATAGCTTCACTGGCTATCGGAATGGAGAACGTTGCGTCGAATACATTTTTCTTACGGCCCATTCAGTACTTAAGATTGTGATCAGTGATATTTCCTGAAATTTCCTTAAATTCCGAATAGAATGTATAACTTCAGCTGCACATTTCTACTTGGCAGTCCTCTTTAACAAGCAGTACGATTGCCCATAAGTTCTTATCATTTTGTTATGTCACCCTTCGAGTACGGAATCGTCGCTTTTCATTTGGTTGCCACTTGGAGTGAGCGAAGTAACTCAGTGGTTTCATCAGCATGTGATTAGTACATCACCATTTTCTTGAGAAAGCTTAGAGAGTAGTGGGTTTTCGGTCATTTCGTTGGTAGACTTCCTTGTTACTAATTCTTTGTGGTCATATTGTGGTTGGAGCTGGCTGCAAGTCAAAACTGGAAAATAGTACTTTACATCAATTTGTACGTCCCCAATATTGGTCATGAGCAAAATAAGAACAAAGACTGACCCAACAGCCAAGCACAGCAGACTTTGCATAGGCGGATACAATTTGCAGATAGATAATCTGAACTTCAAGAAACGGCCACAAAGAGATGGAAGATTAACGTTCAATGAGAAACCACCAATCAGAAGACTGTGTTTGTTTGCTTACAATAATCTACAATAATGTACATGAAAATCTATAAATATCTGTTGATTTCCTAAATAAACGATCTGTTGCCTGGCCCTTTTCTTCTGTTGTTACAATATGACCTTCAGTACCGAGGTAATGAATGCTCTTGTTGATGGAAGTTTGCAGTAGCCCCACTGAAACTCTTCCGATGACGAATCAAGCTTCTAAACCAAATAGAAGAACTCATCTGTCATTGGTATTGAAATCGTGTTGCTTATGGCGGCTGAAGAAGATTTCCACACATATTTCATGAGATTGACCGATTTTCCGCCTGCAACACCTTCATCGATGCCGACTGCCTATAGTTGAAACGATGTTGATAAAATAAGTGAAAAATGTGACTTCGTTCACATTTCTCCCGTTTTTTTTATTTATTTTTGATTTTGACTTACAGCTTGATTCCACACCGTATTTTCAGTACAAGTGTGGAATTTTCAGCATGGATATCGGAAGCCCAAATTCAGGCCGACCATAGATATCGGGTGTGCGCCGGCAGGGTATCGAACCCCGGACCATGTGCATGGTCGGCGAGAGTCCTAACCACTGTGCCACCGACGCACCAGGGATTGCCACATGTCACCGTTGGTAAGGCATCACGTCTACCTTCTCTATGTTTACTCAAAATCCTGTCTTCGCTGTCTGTTTTGCATGACATTATATATATCACCCGCGGAGTCTGAAGGTTTACACAATAATCAAATAAAAGTTAGCTAAATCACGAATTGGTAGGAGTTAGAATTCATGTGTTGGCCATTGAATCGGGTCCCAATGGTTGAATAGTATACGAGCTTGACTTGTAATCGGAAGGTCTCGGGTTCAAACCCCATTGGGTGCGTACTGCCAATGGTTCCCACACTGTGATGAAACAGCTGTCCAGTACTCCCTAGTTTTCATTCGTCCTCTGAGTGATATCAATCCGTCATCAACTCGGAAAAACAAAAGTCAGCTTTATTAAAGCATTGTGTGAACGAATCCTCATTTCCCATTGGTTATTTATGTTAGACTAAAATGAAATGAATATGGTATTTTAGTATCAGTGGGAAAACCACTGTGCTCTGGGCGAGAATGCACATCCAACCGACGAGTCATAAGTAGGATGAAGTGCACATTCAGGATTCCACTGGTAGTTACCGAGGACCGAAATAATATACTAGATATATATATTGAACAAATGCTATAACCATGCTTTAAATTCACAAGACTGAAGGATGCGCTGGAGAAATATATATATATATATATAATAAAATAATCCAGAAAATCGCTAATGTAGTGGTCATAAATATGTTGACAGTAATTAGTCAGCGTCTGCAAATCAGTGGGATAACTAGCCAGAAAACACATTGGAGTGATTCAACGGTAGGAATGTATGCAGATATTGAACAAGTGGATTACGTAATGCCTAACGTAAGAGAAATGTGAAGAGTAAATCAAGATTATATCAATGTTTGAATCGATTACTTGTGCGTCTGTGGCACAGTGGTTAGGACTCTCGCCAACCATGCAAATGGTCCGGGGTTCGATCCCCTGCCAACGCACACCTGATATCCATGGTCGGCCTGCACAATTTGGGCTTCCGATATCCATGCTGAAAATTCTATACTTGTACTGACAATACGGTGTGGCATCAAGCTGTAATAAAAAAAGCAATCTAAGATGAAGTAGACAGAACAATAGGACAATTGGAACGAAACTAAATTGTATATGCTCAAGGGGATAAAGAAGTCCCAATTTTTTCGCATTGATGTACTGATGGCCGAGGTAATGCTGAAACCGTTAGTGCTTTTGACTTGACAGCCTACAGTAATATATATTTTCAAGCTGCCTTAAAAAAATCTAATTTATTTCCCCTGATATTTCTTTCCTCGAATTGTGTGGGCTAAACATAAACGTACATACAATAAAATTCACGTATTGTAACCGACGTCATTACCATTAAAAGCCTTATCAAATACCGAGTGGGCTGTGAGAACACTTACTTACTATTTCATTCCGACGCAGTAACTGATCAGTAGTGTGAACTTGTTCAGTTTTATCCTTTTTCGGGTTGTGGATCTATGAAAGTGAAATGGGCATACAGTCCTGCGAGCACTGACTTTCAGTGGGTCTCTAACTGATGCCAGTCTATAGTGGGATCTTACTTGAAATCTCTGTGAAGTAGGGCAAGATGGTTAGCTGATGCACTCAAACATTATTATTTAAAAGACTGACATTATGCTACCAGTACTTGTATACAATGATAAATGTACACCTGTGTTTATCATCCATTATTCTGTGAAGTAAATCAGTTCATTTTTAAAGTTTTCCCTCTGATTATACTTCAGGTACTATGGAATAAATTGGGCCTTGACTATCCATTAACGATAGGAAAGAATCGTTTTATACCCGATGAGAGATTTCATGTACAGTATAAGCCACCGAATCGTTGGCATTTAGTTATTGCAAACGCTCAGTTAAATGATACTGGTGTATATTCTTGTACAACTGGCTCTGGACTTGGCAACAGCGCCAGCAATACAGCAGAGTCTAATGGTAAATCTCAGTCAACAAAGGAAAAAGAAAACTTGGAGGCGTCTGTGACTAGAAGACGTCAATCGAAAATGAAGATAACAGATGATACAGCAAAAAGAAAACTGAAAGGTCGTGAATATTACGTCTCAGTAGGTAAGTACTTACGGTTATTACTAAATGGTGTGTTTTTAAACATTTACATTGATGGATATGAGCAATCTGTTTTACTGTATGAAATTATAACCAGTTATTCAGTGGCAGGGTTGGATTATGGATATTTTTCCATGCATTAATCAACAAATATTTTCATGAAAGGCGAGTAGGTGTACCGATACCATCCAGTACTCTGGAGACTGCCGTCAGTCATTAATTCTCAACTTTTAAATTTTGGTTTGCTGGAGTTTGATTGATTTAAATTTTGGTCACGACCTGACTTCAGATAAAGAATCAATGAAAAATAAGAGAGTGCTGACGAGTTATTTCGTTCTTCTTCAGGACTCTTCAGCAATACATATCGAATGCCATACCCGCCAGAGATCCGACCTCGGGGGCTTCTTGTCATTGATCATTTGATGATGGGGAAGGAATCTATCGTCTTATAAGCTCTAACCTCTGCCAGTTTGCGACGAGACGATCAGCCAGTGCCATCACTGATTATCTGTCCTCACGGCCAGTTTCTTGGACGCCACCAATCACCACTTCTCACTAGAATTTCAGGCAGATTCATCCTGTGTTCAATCAATTGTTCTTTAACTGAATTCGTGTACAATAAAACTGGGACGTCATTATTTTATCGAGTCATATAATCAGTAGTTGGTATTTGCCGTATACCGAAGCAAGGAGTATTTGGGCATCGCGCTAATCACTTCTCGTAATCTTTATTGACAGGTTCCGTTTAGACACGCTAATGAATACTGCAGTCAAATGACAAAAGAGTGTTCATGAAGAATTCGATCAACGCTCTAGAAATCAACACTTTCGATGATACTTAGATTATGGGATTTGTAGGCATTTGAATTATTGTAATTTCTACAGCCCACTGATGGCTTGTGAATAGATATTCTGAAGCTTTAGTGGAAAATTATGACCAGCGGGGTCCACTATGTCAATGTGAAGTGGATGACAAGGAAAGAAATCACGGGTGACTGAATTCCAGTCAAAGTTGCTGGATGGTCAACGGGCTTAGTCTCGTAACCTGAAGTCCTTAGGTTCGATCCCATGTCGGGTTGTGGGTATGCACTACTGAAAAGTCTCGTACTAGGCAGAAATAGCTATGCATTCCTGCCTGCTTTCCAATGATCTATGTAGTTGATGTTGGTTCAAATTAGATTTCAACGATGACAATACTGACAATAATGATAGCTTTTCTCTGAAAACTGCAGTTGCACACAGTACAGAATCCCCAGCGTGTTTTCATGTAGAATATTTACTCCTTGTACAGAATCACCAAATAAATGGATGGTCGATAATATTTTATTTGAATCAGTATTGTTCTGCCTGTGTATCGGTTGCACAGTGGTAGAATGTTCGCCAACCACACAGGTGGTTAGGGGTTCGATCCCCATTCAACGCCTTCCTCCTTTACTTCGTAAAGCCAGTAATAAGACTGGTAAAGAGGGCATGAGATTAGCTCCTTATCATCATCTCATCATCTTTAGTCAGAGTTCGACTATTTCTGTCCAACATACTGAATCAACGGCGTATACAATATCAACTCAAATAAATAATAACTGCTATGCATTGTGCTAGAGATGGCTTCCGTGGCCCCCGTGGCCAAGTTGATAATGCTTTGGTATTTGAGGTGATTGACACAACTTTAGAATCTCAGTGGGAACACCATCACTCATTACAAATATAGGTAAATCTGGCAGGAGAGTCTCAAACAGGACGAAATCTGCCAGTCACTGTCAATCAGAATAGCAGCAGAATAACTTCTGTTGTTGGAGGAGTTAAACTATCATCGACTTAATCACAGTGACCTTGTATCACCAGTCCGAGCTCAGCTGCAATAAACACCGTATAAGAATTAAAAATATATAAGGAACATTGAAGAAATGATATTAAACTAGTCGATGGTCGTTTTTGTGTCGCGAATATATCTCTTAGTTTCCCCAGGGAAAATCTGCACCGAATATCTGTATAGTCAAAATATGTATTGATCCAGGCGGCTGTAAACCATAGCACTCGGAAGTGCACTGATATTCCCTAGTCTGTCCTTCAGCATCCCCCAAAAACCTTCAATGGAATTAGTGTAGGAGCTTGCGACTGGATCCACAAGATCCGAGGAGAGGTTACCACCATGGTAAACATAACTCAGAGATGACAGTTGTTCATATCCCCTTCATTCTTCTGATTTTAGAATCACTGGCGGCATTACGATGCGCTAAACAATTGCATTTATCACTGTAACACTTAGATTTGGTATTGTCTTCATGATACCCTTGAGTAGTGAAGTGTCGTATATTCCAAGCACCGACACTTGGTTCGCCCTTCTTGTTCTCCTATTATACTTCTTCTTAATTGGGACATTTTCATCAGTATCAACCAATAACCTTACACCTCCGAGACAGGTGGTAATTCTTTCTAACTTACATGACGCTATGTCTCTAGAGTTCTGACAGTATTCCACTGTAGAGACAGAGCTATTTTCCTTCCTTTAAAGTACCTAGGAGGTAAGTAAATTACTGCACCTCCCATCATTATCCGATTTCCTTTCATGTCATAAGTGGCATACACGGCAAAGTTTATCTCCCACAACGTCGAAATGCTTTGTTGTCATATTAATCCTACCTACAGAATTACACAAGACTTGGTGACCCTAATTAGTCCATCGTTGACACAGTAGTTGAGTACTCTTCATGGAATCTATAAAGGCAGGCATAATTTAGATTTAGAATAAGCTTTCATAAAATTCTCTAAATCGGACTGGTTCTTAGAGATCAACTTCTGACAAAACGTTAACTTCGATAGTTTAAATACATGCTGTTTTCTTAATCTTACTTCGTCCTGTGAATATGTCTGATTACTTTCGTCTAACTTCAAGTTGGAATAAAACTTAATTTGTTGGAATAGTATGTTGATTTTTATACAAGTTTTCGTCTTTGAGATTCTGTACACATGTGAAATAATTGTCAAGAGTTTCAAGGTTCGATTAATCAGAAAGTATGTAGGAAAATGTAAAAATAAAATAAATAATAGTGTAACAGCAGGAGGCAAGCTGCATAAGCTAAAATATATATTCAAGTGATCAAACAACTATTTGTATCCATACAGTTTATATTTTTTGATCAATATATATATATAGCATTCTCTTGCTAATGCAGTAGTGAACTGTGGGAATAGTATTCAGACGTTAACGCCAACAAATATACTATTGATTCTTACTGTGAGAATAATATTCCGTTGGCCCCCATTGTCTGTATCACAGCACCACAATAGTAGTGATAGTTATAATAATAATATTACTACTAGTATCAATGATGATGTGCATGTCAAACATGCAGAGGATAATAACAACACCAACAGTAAGGAATCTAAATCATCACTAGTACTTCCGTACAAAGAAGGAACCTCGGAAACCTTAATGAGAATTTTTTAATAGTGCAGGAATAAAAGTGCCATTCAACCACCCAAAAACTCAATTAGAAACAAGCTTTGTCAGTTAAAAGATCAATCCTGTGAAGCCAATTAAACAAAACAATTTAGGTTATCTAATTCTCTACTGGAATGATTGTTAGGCTAAATAAGTAGGTCAAAGTTCGGCTATACCTATCACAACATGCAATTGCACACAACCAAACAACAGGACGGGTGGGATAAGATGACAGTTTTAAAATCTAATGTAACAGAGTGGAGGGGTAGATTGATAACGTATGCTTTCTTGATAGAATCAACTGCAAATACATGTACTAGGAATGATTCAACACCTGTCCAACCGGATATCTGGAAAATTCTCCTACCCCTACGACGACGAATAGGAGAGAACACAGAAAACTATAGAACTGAAGTTTCGAAGTCGTGTGATTATAAATGACGTGATAATGAACAATAAATGTTTTTCGAAACGTCATCCAGTAAATAACACTGTTTCATCACTGTGTGATACATCTAATAAGCAGAATAATACGCGATTGCATACTACCACAGTGCCCAAGTTTTACACATATATTAGTTTCAAGGTTTCCATCTGTTTTTAATTTCCTGTTATCGATCAACTTCAATAAAACAAATTATTGTACACTAGTATAATAGTAATTTATTTTGTACGAATTACTGTCTTATCGTCTTAATCGGGTGGTTTATTTGCTCCCACATTTCATTTCTAAACGTTTTAGTCAAAAGAAAAAGAACTCAGGATAACACGTTCAAATTCTTTAGGATAGTAAACAACACAAGAGAATTTAGTTTACCTCAAATTTGACTGAATCTATCTCTATCCGCCTTATGAAAGTTCAATTTTGTGTTGAGAGAAAAGCCGTTGTTAGTCTTCCTTTAACACTAGTGACGCAATCATTTAACAGCTTCTTCTACTTGATTATACAATTCTTTGTTAAACTTCTTTCCTTAAGACTTATTAAAATATTGCTTTCCTTTGTTACTTATCCCACTATTGGAGTTGAACTCATCACATTATTACGCAAGACATTAATTATTTATAGTCGATTCGTCCTTTCTTACGTAACTGCTTATTTTTGAAATATTCAGAATCTTTGCATTATGTGGGATTTCCCGTGTGTAGGCATATTTTCTCAGCACATTCAGTTTATTATTTTGGAGTCCCCTGTTAACTGACGTCATGTTATTCTCTCAATTACGTCACAAATCACTGTGTGTATGCATTTGAACTTCTTTAATTTGTGAAGAATAAGAAGTTCAGCAAAGATATCTTTTCGGCGATTTCATTTTCAAAAGCTGTACAATCGCATTTAAATACATAATTTCACATGGAGACAATTCTTGTTTGATTCTACATAATTATGACGGCGAATAAAAGGTGATAATTATTTCCAACTAGATATAGTTTTACGAGAGGCTTAGAAACAAAATTACGCAGGATTAGAACGGATATCAAGTGTGTAAAAATGAGCATGGATACAAAATTGAAATAATAATTTTCAACTTGAGATGGGAGTTAGGAATTGCGAATATAGATTACAAGAGCCTTAGAAATTATACAGGGTTACAACGAATTACAGGTGAATAGAAGATGAGCATGGAAACAAAATTGATATAATAGTTTTAACTTAAAATGGAAGTTAGGAGGTGTGAATATAGATTACAAGAGCCTTAGAAACACAAAAAATTGCACAGGATTAAGATATAATTGCAAATTTTTAAAAACGGATTATAAATGTGAACAGGAAAAGCATGGAAACAAACTTAACTTTAATTTGTATCCAACTGTAAGAAGCCAGCGAATAAAAATCGTAGCATCTTATTCCGATCCAAATGCCGGTGGTGACACCACTGTTAGTCAATTACGTTGGTGCATAAAAGTTAAGAGACGACGTCTCTAAGCGTATCCCAAATTGACGGCATTCGAACACCTGACGAGATATGTAAAACATAAAATCTTGATCAACGAAGACTTCAGCCTTTAGAATGTTAGCAAGACAAACACGCTGTCCGGGTTCGATCCCTTCAGACACAGGCCTTAACGCCTCCCCATTTACCAATTGACAGTGAGCTAAGAACAAAGGGAGGGTGAGACATGAGGCTAGCAACCTCACCTCATAAAACAGCCGACAACATTGCTAGTGAAACTTCAAAGTTCGTAACCTTTATATTCCACTTGGAGGCGAAACAACGGGATTGCCTAAAACATGCTTACTAATTGAGTCTTTGTTTAATTACACCGCAAATGCTTGCTAGTATTGTTTACTATAACGTTTAAATGCAGTTTTAAACCGTAGCAAATAACGCTTTTTTAAATTTTGTTTTACTGTTTAGTTGAACCGCTACCATCTGAAAGATATCAAGTTGACGTGCCTATAAGTAAGACATCAATGAAGAATAAAAGTGAGTTTTTATTGTTAATTGTTCATTCTTAGTGAATTCAACTCGTTCTTAAACGCGCTTCACATCTGATATGTGAAAATGTGCCTGATCCGCTGTTTTACTAAACGTGTTTATTATAACTGAGTATGTGAAATTGTGGCTAGTTGTCTTAAGTTGTTTATTCCTAACCAGTTAGTCACGGGCTCGAAGCCGGCTGTACCATTTGAGGTCTGGTGGCAGCTGGTGGTACCAACAGCAGCGGCATGATCTCAACTACATGAGGGATGGATCAGGATATCAGGATCGAAAAGTCATGAAAGACCTTAATGATTCCGAAATCAGAGTGGAAAGCTACTTCATTCAACATGAGGAAAACGTTTCGGGCTCTCAACACTAATGTTTATTCAGTAATTTTTTTACGTGGTTCAAGGACTTGACACATTCCTGAAAGTATGTGAAATAGGCTACTGCAAGGAGAGGATTGGCAGTGAGGAACTGCAGCAGTAAGCCAAACAAAAACCTGTTGATCAACAAATAAACCGAGAGAAGTAGAGACTGATTGGACATACGCTGACGAGACTGGCCGCCAGGCAGATCCTGGAGTGAAACTAGAATGGGAAACAACAAGTTGGACAACCAGATATAACATGTAGGAGGCTGTGAGAGGAGAAGTTGAGAGCTTATGGGCTGTCGGAGAACCAGCTTAAGACGACTGCAGAAAAGAGGATGAAATAAAAATGTGCTATTGACTACTTATGTTCCACTCGGGACCTTATAGAATATTAAAAGAATAATAGCCAACTGCATTCAACTGCTAGTGGTTGGATATACTTAAAGTGTTTGAGCTACGATTACTGATAAATTGATGAATTCATCGGATGTAGTTGACAGAAGACTGCAGCGTTTTAGTATGCTCATAAAAAATATCTTCAGTGGGTCTCCGAGTCTGAATTGCAGTACTACCACTTGCCTAGTTTTCCAGGAAACATTGGACTCTGTCTAATGGGACTAGAAACATTATATTGATTTCCCTAAAGCATCCAGTCACCTTGTCAGTCACACTGTTACAGAGCTCGAAAATCTCAGCGGTAACGTTGCTTATTGCAGCATTGTGTGACATTGATTCGAATCTATAAGGATACATCATGTGTTTTTGAGGTTGAAAATATGGTTCCTTGACGGATACCAGTTATCTCTATATAACTAAAACCGTTCACATATGTCTTCAAGCTTTCTAACCATAATTGAGCTTTTGGGTTATCAGATTTCTAGTGAAAAACTTTGTGTTTCCACAATTAAAATAAGTTTCAAGCCATATACACACTCACAAAAGAAGCAAGTGAGATTAGACTTGCTAGACAGTTGGCTTTTTTTATCGTGTCACATATTCTCAGTGAAATAATCACGTATTCTTATGTAACATATCTGTCAACTGATTATATAATGAAATATGAATCTGATGATAAGACATACAGAAAAGTTGAAAATAAATTATAGATTCCAAACTTTATCATTTATGAACGAAAGAAGAGTTGACATGATTGAGCAGTGTTGAGAAATGTGGCTAATTAACAGCGCTTTCCAGGGATAAGCAGCAACCAATGAAACAAAAATGAACTAAGCATTATTTGGTTGTAATTTCTCTGTAATGCAGGATATAGAATAAGTTTAAACCTATAATAGTGTATGATGGATAGAAGCTAATATTATTACATCTCATGACAGAGATGTAACAATCAGGCTACTGTTTCAGAATACATCATGAATGAACTAATATTATCAATAAATTACATTGTTTATGAATAATTTCTGAAATTAAAACCAGTTTGGATATATTCTATAGGGGTTGGAAACTTGCACTGAGTGTCACGAAAAGCATTTCCAACAGCCTGTTTTGAACTTTTTCAACATTTGCCTTTACTAGCTCCATACTGAGGGTCAAATGGCCGGTCAGAAAGAATAAGTAACACGAAACTCTGGCAACAAATCAAACAAGAGCCGATTGTTTAACAAACATATATATGAAGATTGAGATGGATTGGGCTGGGCGAGCAATGCAGACTATCGCTTGAGTGGAATCAGAATGGGAAGCGACAAGCTGGTCGTTTCAGAGTGACATGGAGGAGACTGTGAATTGAGGAGTGGGAGATGAGAAACTATACGCAATCGTTGGCCCAGATGAATAGGATAGTGGAGAACAGAGCAAAGAGCAGACGTGTTGCTGAAGCCCTATAATCCACTTTTAACCCAAAGGGATAGTAATTTCTTTCATGGCTAATTTGAGCTTTTCTTTGTTCACGGATTGTCTTAGAATTGAATGATAATACCAAGCAGACTGATATCAATCGCTTCTACTTAAAGGATTGCAACGGATTCTATGTGGAACTTACTCGTTAAACTGCATAACTACTTATAAACTGTACTTAGAAGAATTCCTAGGGTTCATTAGTTTTACAAGGAACAATCAGATAAAAGCACTAGTAATGCATGCAAAGAATTGAATCATTAGTTGTTTTCTCTGACCTAAATGGATTAGTTGCGACGCTTTCATCGCATTTCTAGACAATACCTTCAGCGTAGGCTTCGCGACATGAAGGGACCTCTAGGGAATTCTCCATAAATTTAGCAGCCATCTCACCTGCCGACTTTAAATGTGATCTGTCGTTTCAGGATATTTCCCCACTTATAAGGGTTTTGACCTAAAGGCTGACATTTTACCAAATAATTCCTTTTTTATTGATTGACGAATCTATGCCGTTGTATCTGCTGACTACAGATTCATCTGAATAACAGGTTTCTAGAAATTTTCCAGCATGTTTTGGCATTTTCTGGATGTATGGATGCAAAAGAGTGTATAATATGTCTTTTGAAAACCATGTCTTGTCTCTGGACGTCTGCTATGACTAATGGAGTGTTTTCTAGATGTTGCAGTTTTCTTTGTTACTGATATTGGATTTGTTCTCTGCTGGTTTGGGACTAGTGTTTTTTGTACTTGCTATAATTACAATGAATATTATTATCTACTTAGGTTCTGAGTAGGGCATATGACTTCAACAGGACATCTCTACTTCATTGTGTTTTCTGTAGTCCTCTTCAACTGGCTCCACGAACGCCCATAAACTCTGATCTCTTTCTAATAGGATCTCGTGCATGTCTAAATGAACGCGTATGTGATTCACTTTTTTGTTTCCGGGGCTCTATTAGAGGTTATACGTGGTTCGTGATGTCACTCACCTATCTCTTCAGTTCGTGTCCAATCCAGCTTCACGTTCTTTGGTTTTATTTCGATTAGTCTATTGCCAGATTTCTGTTGTAGCGAATTCTTCATGCTTATTCGATCTTTCATATCGAAACAGAAAAGGCAGGTTTTATTAAAGGTCTGCCGTTGTCTACTGGAAATGCTTACAGTGACGCGCACACTAAGTATCTGAACCACACAGAAAGAGTCACTGAAATGACATTAGCCTTCAGAATTCGAATTCTGCTCTTCATGCTTAATGCGGTAAACTTCCAAACCGATTTCAGACTGATGGTCTGTCTGGCTTTTCCGATTGTAGCTTTATTATTCTCATCCCCTCCGACTGTAGTTTAACAAATGCTGACTACAGAAGCGAAAGAAGCGAGTTGCTTTACATGTTACCGTTGACACAGACTGGTGCCTGTTGTTTTCGTTGATTGGGTATCGTCATCACTTCTATTTACCCAATTATCTGGGGTATATCTATATTTACGTATTTCTTGGGATAAGGGTTAGTTTATTTTCTCCTGGGACACAAGTGTAAGTGAATAAACGATTATAGCTAAAACATAAATGTATATATGCATATATATATATATATGTATATCTATTCACTATTGCCGGAAAAACAACGAACTGAAATCCCATCTGTTTATCAGTATGCATATTTCTATTTGATTTAATGAATTTCCTTATATAAGAAATGAAATATATATGTATATTTAAAAAGGAAAATATCAGCATATAAGAAATAAGATTGCTGATAAATTGTTGCGGGGAAACTTATATAAACAACAATTCGCATTGCATTCTTCACTTCTAACGATAAACGTTCTTTATAAGAAGAATTTTTAAAATTCACCAATAAACGGGACAGCTTTTAAACCATCCCATCCAGCTGTTTCGTTATGATTGGTTGGAGAATTCTTCATCCTGAGTTGATATTGGTTACAGAACCATTGGAAAACCTGCAGGAAGTACTGGAGAGCCAACTGTTTCGTCCTAGTTTGTGACTCTTCAACAGAACGCGCCCACCACCAAGGTTTGAACCCAGGATCTTCTGGTTACAAGGCCAGCGAGGTCGTAGACCACTTAGTCACTGGGACCCCATCCCATCGCCAGCTAGCCCATAAATTCTAACTTCTGCCTATTCACGACATAGCACGACCACTTTTCACTCTCCTCTTCGATGAATAACTGTCTTAACCTTTAGTCTGCTGCACACACTGGTGACAGCTTCAGACTAGAACTGCAGGTAAATGCCTGAATAGGGCCGGTCAACAGACGGTCCTGGGTTACAGCACTAGCGGTGGGTGCATACTGCTTAAGAGTAGCGAATAGGACAAAACAGCTGCCTATCCAGTACACCCCGGCATGTTTTCCAATGGTCCCGTAACTAATGTCAGCTCATGATGAAATCCCCCAGCCAATCGAACAAAATACTTACAAAACCAGTACTTCTTTATGAATTATCTATTGGCCATCGTTTAGGAATTGCGATGAAGAGTAACTAACATACCAGTGATTCTGAAATGTAAAAGTAATGCAGTTTGGGGGTAGCAGTTGAAAGACACTATATTTGTAGAAAAATGAAAGGAGTGTAAGAATGTTAAACAGAATATGTAATTGGGTTAGGTTTGAGTTAACGAAAAATTAGGGTTAGGTGTAAGTAGGAGACTGACTAAGGCTGGTTTCAGGTTAGGCTAGAGAAATATTAGGGTTATTACTCAGTTTGCATTTTGTGAGTGATTTATTGTTTCAAAGTCATAAACGCATTGTTGCCTTGAATCGCGTATTCATTTTCACTGATATAACCCATCGGCAGTTACGTGTGATATTTAAATATGTTGGGGTATTAAATGTCTTGAGAGTAAAAGGGTATATGGTATATATGTTTCGCATGCTATCAGAGCCTCTTATTCAACATATATTCCAAGAGAAAAAAGGCAAAGATTGGACATACTGTGTTTCGACTGGTTCCAGTTTTCTAACACTTCCAGTTTTGCTCTTGAATAAAGGAATTACTGAGACTGAGTTTTATTTTAAGATGTATCTTAGTTTGGTTGTATTTCCTGGGCTGTATTTTAAATTCTCAAAGCCTAAATTACCCTGGAAAGAAATTGTCTAACCAGTTTAGAAAACTCAAATACAACGAAATCATCGACGTGTGCAAAAGGTCATCCCCATCATTTTAAGACCAGATTATATGAATTTACTATGATCAACAAGTTTGTCTTTGATGCTTAGATTCGTGTGCATATAAAAAAAGATGACATCAATTAATGTCCATCAAATAGGTAATAGGGGGTATATTAGTTGGTTGTAGGCAATCGGCTACAGGATGCCCTGCCTCACTTAGGTTCCGTCCTAGTTGGCACTGATTGGTCAGTCAGCAAGGTATATCTGCAACCGTGAAGGTACTCATATTCCTTCTGAGTTTCTAACCCGCGTCACTCAGTGAGTACTGCATTCAGAGACGTTACCACTGAGCTATTTGGACTCGCGATTCACCGCCTGTAGGACTGTATTGGATACTTCGATTAGACACTAGTAATTAGTGTGATGTGTCTAGTCCTTTCTTAGATGCAGGCTGAATCCTGTCAGTCAGGTTTGCAATGAGGCCAATCAAAATAAGAGTATACTCAACTACACTGCTAACTAGCAGCAATTCTGTGTCACGAATCAGCAAAATTTAGAAATCGTGCACTGTATAATTCCGACGTAGTGTTTGAATATCCTTCTTTTGACCTCATGTACAAACCATTACTAAAGAGGCATAAACTAAAAACCATCAGGTATCCAGTAACCCGTAATTCTCAGTTAGGCTCAAATTGATGCTGTTGTGGGCCGATCTGAAATCAAACTCATTTATACTGTGTCTCCTCAATTTATTAGTAAAATTCGTTAGTGCAGATACTGATGAAACTGTAGTATGCGGATGTTTAATAGGATACCTTTTATTCCGTTTCAAACATATACCTTCAAAGCTTATCACCATACTATGGAGGACTTACTAGGTTGATTCTGACGTAGTCCACCACTAGCATGACTGAATAACGTAAATAAAAATGCTGCTCGAACTTAGGTTGCAATGAATAAGGGTTCTTATCCACTGAAGAACCTTGTGGTATAATATTCAAACTGATGATAGAACTTCACAAATATACCTCAGACTTATCGTAAGTCTTCTGGTGTACATATACATATATATCATTGTTCGTATTTCCTTTTTATGCGTTTCAAGATCCTTAAAAATGACGGTATTCACTGGGCGTTGTCTCTTGCTAAATTAAATGTATTTTAGTGAATAACTCATGCTTTTATTTGAGCTATTTTTAGAGTAGATGCGGTAATTGTTGTTAATTCATGTATCATGGTTTGCATGCATGAGTTTATTACTATTATTATTATGTTTGCTATTATGAGGTTTATAATGGAACTGATTTACTGAGCAGGCTATCAATTCAACTCGATTGAATATAAATTCTGCTCAGTGCTGAGCTTCGTGTGACTTTTCATAAATGTATATATACATATATAACAATTGTTCATGGTCATATATAGTTTTTGAAAGTTCGCTGAAGTGATCTCAAGGTAAAATCAGTAGAACTTCTCTCACTGCGTTATTGAAGAGTTTGAGAATAGGACGAAGTGTCTTCTTTTGAATTCCATTACCGGCTACTTCCTCTCGAATAACATCAAACAAGGATGTGTACATGATTGATATAAGTATAAAATGTGGGCACTGTGGTAGAGTATAACTCCATTATAGATAAGATTTTATTTTGATAAAGTCACACAGTGTGTTATACAGTAATATTAACTGATGACCACGTTTCGAACACAAATTATTGTCGCTCATAATCATATCAAGTCACTCACTCATACAACGTTTTACTTCATTTATATAGATCAGTGGGACTGATGATCAGACATTTGAATAAAAATAAATATGGGATAATGTACAATAAGCAATAATAATATGAGTGTTATCAGTCAAATAAATTCAGATAGGGAATAAGACGAGTGTTTTTATAGTCAAAATAAGTAACTTGTTAGAATGTTATGATGTCCGTGAATTGAAATAGAATTTTAAGATTATTTATTATCCTCCTTTGATTTGACTGGTTGTTATAATATCTTTCATATCTCTGGTATTTGCATTGAGTCATTTCCGTTGCATGTGTTGGGTGTGTCGACTCGATGAACAAGGCAGGATTCAGTAATCAATTCCTCTCTCAACCTACATAGATTACTTTTTAGAATTTTGACTCTGTCCCACCCTATTGTGTGGTTGTGTGTTAATGCTTGCCGTGCTATTGCTGACTTTTTTCAAATAACTTATCTTCGTGGGACCAATCATTCTAACCTTAGCTAAATTCTTATGTTCTGACAATCTGTCTACCCCTAACCTACTAGTTTGACTTTTGTAGTTGACCTAACTCACAGTCATTCCAAGTTATTTTGTAAATTATATTATTTTATTTAATTAGGTCCACCGGGTCTTAACATCAATCAAAATTGGAAATAGTTTCAAGTAAAATGAAATGTATATTATGAAAGGTGGTCTATTGGTGAACATTTAACTGGGAGAGTGATAATATTCTCGATACTTAAGATCAAATGACCATCTTTAAACAACAAGTAACAAAGATCTCTGGTGACGAATTAACTAAGAACCTGCAGTCCAATAATATGGAGAACGGGGTTGGATATGGATTGGACAGATACTCAGAAGTTATTGAGTAACACCACTCGACAGGCATACAGTCAAGTGAATACCTACTTAGAAACAATGATCTGGATGTGTATCCAAGAGTGAGGTGGTAATGAAAGCGTATGAGTAATCAAGAAGCCAGACAAAACAAACTACATGGGATACAGTTAGGTGGGAATGTGCTTCTCAGGCCTTATGTTCCGTGAGGAAGCCAGAGAAATAACAATCTAATAATAATCACAAAGGCTTGATTATTCTTTCAGATATCATCTTCAGAGCCAGCATAGCACTAACATCAAAATATCTAACTGAGCTACATGTTCTGTCCATAAATTCAGAAGGAAAATATTTATGTGTTCAATAATATATATTACATATATGTAGCGGCAGTGGCCCACTGGTAGAATGTCAGCTAACCATGCAAATTTTATTAGGTTTAACAAAGAATAACCTCTCTCTGTGTCGAAGAAGATGATACACATGAATGTGGCGTTGAAAAGCGATATTCTGGCTGACATTCTAAAGAGAAGAATAGCTAACGCCCTGTAAAGAACATCTACTGCTACACTACGATTGGTATTCTCCAACAACTCCACATCTATGTGTATCTACCAATTAACTTGCTCACATAGAGCGAGATATGTAGGTCGTTCAATGCATACTTTATCTAATAGAGTCAAAGAACACTATCCCATTTGGCTACGAAAAAGTAACAGTGGATCAATAGGGAGTGCTATAATTGAACATTTATTCAACACTGGCCACTCAGTATGTAAGGAGAATTCCTTCAAAGTCATCTGCAACATCGAAAGAAGCCTCCTGAAAACGGTAAGCGTCCGTATACTTTGCATTGCCGAGGAGGCCTTAGCGATCCCTGTAGATAACCCTGATCTACGTACATAGAAGAAACTTCTCCATCCCTCCTTCTACCTTGTGTATAATTCCAGGTTCTACTACTTTGTTTTTAATGCCAATTTCTAAATTTTTGTATAACATCCTAATAACATCGTTTTCTTAGCCAACCACTTATTTACTCTTTCTACCTATTACGTAATTTATTTTGGACACTTGTCTCTTCAATAATAACCCTTGTCATTACCTACCAGTATTCACCCCTCTCTCCAGTTATAATCTGAAAATTCATCACAGCTTTGAAACATTTTTGTGACGTGAACAGTAACCCTATTTCACGTTTCATTTTGTTTGACAATCCAAATATGCACACACACACAGAATATTTAAGTAAAAATGAGATGGTTTAGCTAAGTGGATGAATTCGCCAAAAAGAGACTCCTCACTGAACTTTGTTTTTCTTACATTCATGTCTGGATGGGTATCTTCCTTGAATCAAGGTGCAGTTCTTAAGTAACACATTCATAAACTAACTGACAATAAGCCTGCGTGAAAGGGAAGTTCACTCGAAAGGCTAGCAGATTCAACCCGTAGAAGCAACACTCCAACGCTGTTGAAGCTTTATAACTTGAAACCATGCATTCCAGCCAAAATGCTAAGGAATGAATACAAATATATGTACGTGGTTACTGTTTACCAGGCATTGTTTAAATCAATGACGTGAGACTGATTACAATTGCAATTTTAAAGGTTTTTATTTTATTTTTCTTCATCTTCATATCAGCGATAACAGTGACTGGTCCAAATCTTGTATTTTACGGTACCCCGCTTGAATTGATATGTCGTGCTAGTTTCCCATCCTCAGAAGCTAAACTTGATCCAACCATATCTCTGGAATGGTATCATCGTGGAATTCGACGTTTGTCAAATCCATACAAATCTGGTGGTGTATATATTACCCTACGATGGCTGGATTCTCATCTGTTAGAAAGTCGATTATTCATAGCCTGGGCAAGTGAAGCAGAAGCAGGCCAGTGGATATGCTTAGAAAGATCAAATCCAATTAAAAATGTAAATTTAACGAAAATGTCACCAAATTATCATAAACTGGAATATATGGAATTGAATTCACAGTCACCTGCCTACCTTAATAAGTCTGTAACATACAGTCCATCAAGGCTTGACTTTGTTTATGATAAAATTTATATTGAAATAATTGGTAAGTCGATTACTTAATTCTGTTGTACTTTATTGATTGTTTTTGTTTTCATTCGTCAGCTTCCTGAGTGTTGTCTTCAGGTTTTGAAGTTACGGTTGATGCGGTATTGTTATCTCCTTGAGTGGTGGGGTTACAAGCCTCATGACCAACCATCCTTTTTTCCGGGCTTTATACCGGCCTAATGACGTTTCACAGTGCGGCAGCTGGGAGCCAGATCCAGAGCACGTGGGCGGTTGACGATTATTCCACCACTAAACTACGGACGCTTTGTTTATTATTTGATTACACAATATTTGTAACCAGATATGAGTAACAGTTTCTTGTCTCATACTAAAACTCTGTTTTCTCATTGCTTGATGAGAAATAGAGGATGCGATATTGTTATTTGTCAGGATTCAAGTAACAGTGCAATTTCTTCCTGTCATCTGCCAACACAAAAAGCCTTTACCAAACAATAATTACTTAGAAAGCTCATTGTATATACGTGGATGTAGGTTGCGGTGAAATGTTTGTAGCGCTTACAAAACACTAATTTATGGATTCACAAATACATATATATATATTTGATAACAATTGTCATATTCTGGTGGAAAACCTTTATGTAGTACTGATTCTTTAATGTTGTGCATTCAGTGAAAATAGTGGGCGGAAGTACGTCAAGAGAGTTGTCAGGAACCAACATCAGTTGCATCACTGGACAGTGCATCAGTTGTCCTACTAAGTGTCAAGCCCAGGATCTTGACGGGTTGAAATCCAATGACTGCTGTCTTTGTACTATGATTCTAGCAACCTCAATCATCCACAACTGTACATGGACAAAAATAGCGTTATACTTTAAAGCGGTGTTTTGAACAACATTACAAATGATAAAGTTAGATAGAAGTTATAAAGTCATTTAACAATTTGATATTCCAGGTAACAAGAATGTCCATCACGCAGGATTACAATAATGTTCACATAGAATTACATTATATGATGTAATAACATATCCTGATTGTCAGTATCAGATGGTTGGAGGGGATCGGCCACAAGAAGCCCAACCTCACCTAAGTTTCTTGCTGGTTGCCACTCGTCAGCAAAGCAAATAAGTTCCTTCAATGTGATTGTGGATTCGCCTTGCTGACTGACTGGTGAGTGCCAACTAGCACGAAACCTAGGTGAGGTAGGGCTTCCTGTGGCCGAATGCCTCCAACACCTAATACCAACAATTCAATTCACAGTACACCGTGATGGCGAGCCACGTGGTGGTGAGGTGGCCCCATTGCAAACTTGACTGATGGAAATCAGTCTTCACCGTTGATGGTACTAGGTACACACACACACTACACTAGTTACTGACTAATGTCCAATCGAAACACTCCTAAACCTCATCCTGTTTATTAGCTCGTATTAACTGCGAGCAGAGAGGAAGCTTGGTGGTGGGGCTTACAGTTCCATCCCAAAGAATCATGACTGCTTTTACTGAAACTTCAAAGACTAAAGCCATATATTCCACTCAGAATGCAAGGACCATATAAAATGTTTCCTATTATGTTACCACATTTTTGGAAAAAATCTACAATACCTTCTAAATTGAAAACGTCTGTCATACCTTATAGATCTCCCTGATACAACAGACTCTGTACACTCGAAAACAGTCAGTACATCAACTAATGGTAAGTTGAAGACTAAAAGTTCAACAGCATGATTAATATGCCTGGTAAAAGAAGTCTGAGTAGAATGGTGACTTATTGCTTGCTATCCGCCCGCTTGTCAGCTTAAACGTGTGCACTTTACCTTTAGTTATCACACATTACATAATAGCACCTTTTTGCTTTTCCTGATTACTAATGATAAAGTAACCTACAATAAATCTTTGCATTAGTACTGTTTGCCGGAAAGTCAATTGTTTTCATTTTGACTGATCATTAGCACTCATCTGCAAAGTTGGAGGAAAATGATGCCTCCCCTCCATGGAGATTGAAATCTATGTCACTGATGTGTTATTTGGGTTCAAGACTGATTTAACTTTTACTTTTTCTGGTGACTGACATTAAAGTTACCTCCAGAAATCAGTAAGCAATTGAAGAGGTGTTGTTCACCGATTGCATGTTTGTGCACAAGCCCATAAATAAGTGAAGAAATAAAATTTTAGACCTGATTTTTGCATTTCACGCCGATTAAAGATATGGGACGGAATTGCTTCGCCTCTGTTATGACTAAGATTATGTTATTTTCAGTTGACTGTCACTGGCACTTGAATCTAGAATGCACACTTTATTCTATGCAGAACCTTTCATCCGGATGTATCTGCACCTCAGGGAGTTTATTGTGTCCCCACTATAACTTGAACTCCGCAAGCATTGATTTAAACTGTGAAGCATTATTCACTTGACCACAGGTAATGTGAACAATTCCCTTCAATTCCCAAATGCATGATGTATTATGGTTTGAAATCTGAAACGATGGATACAGGGTTCACTTCTCGGGGGGAACACCAATATTTACCAGGAATGCGAGAAAACCCATCTGCCTCATCTTGAATGGGACTTCATTGCTAATCATCATCAATCAAAAGAACATGTGACTTTTTTCTATCTGTTAAATTTCATTACCTATCCAACCGAATTCAGTAATGGACATTTAAAAATAAAACCCTTAACACAATTAGACTGGTGATTATCACAAACCTAAAATGTAAAATGTAAGCTAAATTCGTGATTTTCTAGATTGCTGCAGTGCGTCGGAATCACATTAGTGCACATGTGGTTCCCTGAAGTAAGCGTTTTTTTATAAATTGGCAAGTGCATCCCAGGTTCGAATCATTTTCCACCTAGTCCAGTCTTTACAACTCAGTATTATCACAGACCCAGATATAGAAAGTGTGGTTCACAACCGGTTATCAAATAGCTGGGTTCCAACCATTCAGCCCAAGTTTGATGCATATCTTCCAGTCTTTCATTACGTTTGATCTTGCGCAGATATGTATACTACTTCCTTCGTCAATTGACCTCGTAATTGAGTACGGTCTTTCAAAACCACACGGTTTATTTAGATATTGTTCCACTCAACCCTTATCACACCGGCAAAATTGGTAGCCACCATTCAGCGTTTAAGTTCTGCATTCAAATAAATTATGAGTATTTAAAACTATCAACCTTTGGTATAGTGACTTTGTTGCGAAACGAAGCGATTTAAACTACAAAGGTGGGAGTTTCCGAATTGGGGCTCAAGGGATAAGTATTTCTCCTGAATTACTTGAGTCTAGACACTTAAATCGCTCCAAAATTTCCGACCCACCTAAATGATACAAGAAATAATTGAGAAAGTCAGTTCTTTTCAGATATTAATCATCTTTTGTGTTTGTTTGTCATTCTTTGTAAAGAAAATAGAATGATTTCGAAATGTTTAATGAGTGTGAATGCAATTAAGTTTCGTATGCACTGCATGAAATTTAGCATGTTAAAACGATATACACATTTTGGTTAATATATGGTAACTTTGAAGAGAATAACTCCTGTGATTTTCTTAAATCAGTGTGAATATGTCGTTACCAGATATTAGGTTTCATTTTTAACAGAACGTTGGAGGGATGTTTGTCTTTTTAAGGATGGCATTGACTGGCTAAAATCACGAATTGGTAGAAGCTAGAATTCATGTGTCCGGAAGGTTGAATGGTATACGAGATCGCCTTATCACCGGAAGGTCCTGGATTCAAACCCCAGTGGGTGATTACTACTGATGATTATCAAACTAGGATGAAACAGCTGTCCAGTACTCCCTTGTTTTCATTCGTCGTCTGAGTGATATCGATCCGTGGTCTAACCAGAAGCAAATATAATTGCTACAAACCACTTCTTGAAAATGTATGTGTAACCCCTAACACCGAGGGCTATATGATACGCGATTCATATCAGAGTGTTCATGGAGACTAATCTCTACGGATATTAACCATTAGGTCATATTGTAATATTGTTTAAAGCGGAATAATTCCATTTTGTTGTGTTATTATGTGAGTCAGTGGTACAACGATGGAATTCTTACCATTCGAGCGCATGGTCAGGGGTCCAGGGACCCGCGAACTCACTCCTAAATCCACAAAATACCTTGCAATGACTGTGAGTTAGGTCAACTACATAGTTCACACTAGCGGATTAGGAGTAGTCAAATTTTCAGAACACAAGAATTCAGCTAAGGTTAGAATGACAGACACCGCGAAGAAAAGTAATTCGGAAAACAGTTCAGCAATTGCACTATATGCATTACCACACAAACAAACAATAGGGTGGGAGAGCGTCGAAATTCTAAGAAGCAATATGGGTAGATGGACAGAGAGGTTAATTACTGAATCTTTGATCATAGAATCTACACCCAACACGTGTCATAGGAATGACTCATTATTCATACCAGAAATACAGAAAATACTACTACCAATCAAATCAAGAGATGAGAAATAGTGGAACCCACATAAGCGAAGTGAGGAAGTTGAATGAGTAACTTGATATGATGATAATAAACAGGAATAAATTGTGCTTGAGACGTGGTCATCACTAAATATTATTATATTGCACTATGTGACTTGATCAAGACAAATTTTATCCACATTGGAATTATGTTCAAACCACAGGGAACAAGATCTTTTCAGAGCTCAATCCTGAAGTATAATTTTCTACTCGGAACGCAAAGGAACAAAATAAAAATAAAAAATAAAGTAAATAAACTCTGTGATTATTCTAAGCAATTACTAAACTGATCTCCGTCATTGAATTCATATCTGGATAACCCAACTTTATAAGTTTCAAAAGTCAAATAAAATGTTCCTTCTGCTTTGAATAATAATTTCAAAGATGGAAAAGATGATTATTATCCATTTATTGTTAACGCTTTTAAAAAGCATGGACGTTTCAGCATTTCCATTTGTTAGTAGATTTACTGGTTCTACGAATTAATCTACTGAATCAATTCTGAGTTTGATCACGAATTGTCTTCAGTAAGAGAACCACTGAACACTTGATTCATCCTACTTTGAGAACGAATTTTCAGGGCTGCGCATTCGTGACTTCAACAAGAATGAAACTAAGGATCTCCAGGTGACGAGACCTGGTCCGTTGACTATTCAGACACTGCGACTGTGACACACACCTTGAATTGAAGATATTAGATGGTTGTAGGCAATCGGCCACAGGAAGCCCTACCTCACCTAGGTTTCGTGCTAGTTGGCACTCACCAGAAAGGCGTATCTGCAACCACCTAGAAGGAACTCATGTCTCTTCTGATATTCAAACACGCGTCAACTAGTGCTGCGGTCAGAGACGTAACCACTGACTGATGGAATTCAGTTTGCACCAAAGAAACGACTAGACACATCACACTAGTTACTAGTGGCCAATCAAAGTATCCAATACAGTCCTACAGGAGGTCAATCACGAGTCCGAATAGCTTAGTGGTAGCGTCTCTGACCATAATATTCCTTGGGTGATACGGATTAGAATCTCAGAAGGGATATGAGGCGGTCGCAGATACGCCTTGCTGACTGACTGGTGATTGCTAGCCAGCACGAAACCTATTCCGGGTAAGGCTTTTTGTGGCCTACTGCCTCCAACCATTTTATATCATCAAATCAATGTGCACCGTGATGGCGAGCAACCTAGTGGCATAGTGGCCACATTACAAACTTGACTGACTGACGGAATTCAGTCTGCACGAAAGAAAGGACTAGACACATTACACTAGTTACTAACTAGTGTTCAATCAAAGGTAGCTTGACTGCCAGTCTACATCTCAGGCGAACATTTTTCCTTACAACCAAGCTGGTTGACTCCACTGCTCTAGACTTCCTGCTACAGCTGCAAGCGATGTCATCAATTAGTAATTTATCAGTAAGTGATATACGTTTTTTATATTTAATTACTAACTAATAATTGAATTATTTGACTTGTTTTCATTAATTCTTGTAGTGCCAACACTATCCTCCTCCTCCTCGTCCATGTCTTTTTCATCACCTCTACACTCATCATCATCATCGTCATCCTCAACGTTCAATCGTAAATTCATTCGACCAAATATCCTGAGTGAAACAAATCACTTGAAGGTAAAAAGTGATGCAAAACTATCTTTTGTTGAACGTTTAATACGTTCAATGAATTATTGTACACGTTTACAAGTGAACAAAGACACATTTATAGTTTTCATTCTATTAAATTGTTACTTTTACACATCTGTATTACATCATATTTTATAAGAAAATGAGAAATTGAGAGTGGGTTTGTGGAGAGAGGGAGAGAAAGATAAAGAGAAAGACAATCTCAATAGATGTTAACAGAATTCTATCTTCAGCATTAAACGATGAGAATATCATTTTGATGTAGATTTCAGTGATATTACTTCATTTCTTATCTTCAAATGTGTTTTACCTTCCAGTGTTATTATTTATGTAATGGAAGGTAAAGACATCTATATATGTATATTTATGTGTTTATTCTTTTTATTGAAAGAACACAGATTTAATTTATAAGTAATGAGTTGTTTTTCTCCGCATACAGCGACAGTAATGATGCAGGGGCGAACTGGGGGCAAATATGAGATGATAATTTGGGTTTGTCTTGCATCGAAGCCAATATTTACAGAAGTGATTATGACTGTTGATCATTAAACTTCGTCTTAAGACATTGTATCAATTATAACGAATTGGTCGTTGAAGGAAAGGACTTTTTGGCACTTTCGCCAGGTTGCATCCTGCCTTCGGTAGTGGTCATAGGAAGCGTGCAATCTCAAGCAGTTCACTGAGTCCTCATTTAGAGCTGTGAAACGTGAATATCGTCATTAATTACAAGTGTAAAAATAAAATAAATGATGATATTAGTGATAGTGATAATAATAATAAAAATTATATTAATATTATTGACGATATGCATGTCAAACATGCACAGGATAATGACAACACCAACAATAAAGAATCTAAATCATCAGTAATACTTCCATAAATAGAAGGAACCTCGGAAACCTTGAGGAGAATTCTTAATAGTGCAGGAATAAAAGTGGTTGGCGTTCAAACCTACAAACTCAATTAGAAACAAGCTTTGTCGGCTAAAGGATAAATTGTGTGCAGCAAATTAAACAAAACAATTTAGTTTATCTGATTCCCCGCTGGAATGATTGCAAGGTCAAATACGCGGGCCAAAGTATTAGAATGGGATCAGCTAGTGAAACAAGCGAGCACAGAAACCTATCAACAAAATCTAGATTGGTTGACCCAAATAAGATAAGAAATCCAGAGAATAGTTCAGTCTTAGCACTACATGCAATTACACACAACCAAACAATTAGATGGGATAAGATGACAGGTTTAAAATCCATTGTAACACCAGGGTGTAGGGAGAGATTGATAATGGAAGTTCTGTTTATCGAATCAACTGCAAATACATGAAATAGGAATGATTCAACACCTGTTCACCCGGACATCTGGAAAACTCTACAAACCCTACGACAACGAACATGAGAGAACATAGAAAGCTATAGAACTCAAGTTTCGAAGTCATGTGAATATAATTGATATGATTATGAACAGTAATGAATTGTGTTCGAAACATCGTCATCCAGTAAATAATACTATTTCACTCTGTGTGTGATACATCTATAAACAAACTAATATAGAATGTGCCTAAACTGGTGGGCAAGGATAGACGTTAGTCGATTAGGTTGTGAAGTTGAGTCGACTGAGTTGGCTAGGACAGCTGTTACGTCTGACAAGTCATCGCACTTCTCAACAAGCAAGGGTAGATGACAAAGAATCAGGCTGGAAAAAAGAGATGTTCGTCTTCCATAGGTATTAAAAGGAACATAAGGAATCAAAGTGTGAAGTTACTATGATAGTAGTTCCCCTTTTCATAGTGTAGTGTTGCTGTCCTCATGTTCAACCTTCCGTGTTTCCTCTACTCGCTACTGCTGATTAGGCAAGTTGTAGGAGTGCATCCACAAAGAGTGAGACTTCAGGATACATTCGTTGCTGATGAACATTCAACTATAAAGAACCAGCGACGCACCTCGAAATTGGTTAGTATTGGTCAAAACAAAAAATGGCATGAATCCATGATGCCTTTGAATATTGATTTTATTCACGTATTGAGATAAAGACTACTTGTCTAGGATCTTCGTCATACTAAGTATCAGTGACTGATACCTGTTTTTAGTACGATCACAAATGCTGATAAATGTTTCTGGTAAACTTACTCTTTATGAACTCTCAGGTCTACTAAATTTTCGCTACTCTACTTTTGATTAGGCTATTCCCCGTACAACTGCCAGGTTGAAACCCGGCATGCTTTCCTATGAAAGCCGAAAAAAACTCAGACCTTGACTGCATAAATAGAAATCAGAAAGGTAGCAAAATTACATGATGGTATGTATTATTGGCCAGTGGATCACTGGAAATGGTTCATTTAAATTATTGGTAGTTCCTAGCAGAGTCAGAGAGATCTTTAGTCTACATAGCTGATGAACTTGACCTAGTATACTCTACTGACTAACTGCCATATGTCACCACATTGTCTACTGCTTGTATTATCACATCTTAGGAACTAAATATTTTTAATTTCCAAAGTAGACCGATATTAACTGTTACCTAGAGCTGAATAGTTTGTTAATAGAGAATGTCAGTTGTGACCGGGACCTGTAAAATTCATAAACCTGCGTAATGTATACCTGGAAACTATCAATTCTGTGTCACAGGAAGCTCAGCCTAAAAATGTGAACATTAGTCGTTGATGCAAGAGTTATTTCAGGGTTGAAGATCCCTTCCTTGTGTCAGTGTGATAGATGGCTTGTCATATTGCTAAATAGACACATTGACGTTAGTTAGAATTAGCAATGTACATTGATCCCCGATACGTTGAGGCTACTTCCAAATTACAGGACTGGAGGATTTCATCATAAGCTGACATCAGTTAGAGAACCATTAGAAAACCTGCCAGGGAGTAGTGGACAGCCAGCAGTTTCGTTCTAGTTTTCAACTCTTTAGCGTTTCGCACAAATCTGGCTTCGAACGCAGGACTTCTTCCTCCCCTCGACCAATCGAACAGAATTTCCACAAAACCATTACTTAAAAATTAGTCCGATGCCCACTAGCGACTTGCCTGATTCAGGCAGTTACCTGAGGTTCTACTGGGAAGCCATGATCAGTAGGTTACAGCACGTTGAAGGTAAGGCAGTAACTCATCGAAGAATACATTGCGAAATGGTCACGCTATGTCATGAATTGGCAGAAGCTAGAATTCATAGGCTGATCATTGCATTGGTAGGTCTCATTTGCTTAGTGGTTTATGAACTCACTGGCCTTGTAACCAGGAGGTCATGGGTGCGTATTGTTGAAGAGTCTCAAACTTGGACGAAACAGCTGGTTGTCCAGTACTCCCAACTGGTTTTCCAGTGGTTCTCTAACTGATGTCAGGTCATGATGAAATCTTCCAACGTACGAATGAATAAACACAGTTCAACATACAGTGCTGTGTTAAGCATAAATAACAAGATTTGGATTTTCAACAGAAATGTGAAGTCTGTTGTTTCTTCTGTATGAGTCAGAAACTTGCAGTGAGTGTCACGAAAAGCATTTCCAACAGGCTAAAGCAGACTTGCATCAACAGCTTTCTTATCTAGCTCATTGTTGAAGATAAAATGGCCAACTGGCCAGAAAAAAAATTAGTGACAAGAAAATATGAGAATAAATTAACCAAGACCTGATTTCTCAAAAAAATATGTAGGAGAAAATGGAGATGTGTGGATCAGGCAGACGTTAGGGAGGCCGTTGAATGGCATCCCGCGCAATGAAGGCCAATGTTCGAATGGAATTTCAATAGGAAGCGACGAGTGGGTCGTCACATTGAGGGTAATATGGAAGAGATCGTATAAGTTGTAGGAGGAGATGAGAAATGTTGGGCAATCGTGCACCCAGGTGAAGACGACAGCAGAGAAAAGAAGAAAGTGGAGGTGTGTTGTTGAAGCAATATGCTTCACTCGGAACTCATGGGAATAATAACAATATGATAAAGTTCAACAGAGATGCTTAAAATAGATGCGATAAGAAAATAAAGTACATTCGGAAGTGTGAATATGTGGATATGTCATGTTTAAATGCAATAAGATGCTAGAAATAAGATAAGCAGTGAAGCTCTGTTAACAAAGTAAAGTAAAATAAAATAAATGAATATTAAATGAATGTTAGAATCTGATGATGTAAAGTGAAATAAACAGAACAAAATGGAATAAAGAAGTTTTATGAATCACGTGATAAAATTATGACCATAGTAACAAAAGAGATAATGTAAATTGATTTTGTAAACGCAGTTCTTGCTTTATGTTATGTATTGCCAGAGATTTTTCTGTACAAAGCAAATAAACTTGTGGTACTTTCAATAAACTTTCTCCGACCCGGTAGACAATGTTAAGGGATGTATGATAGGCTAAGTAGTCACTATCTACTATAATGTTTTAGTATAAATGAATTAATAGCTATACGCAGGTCTTTGCTTAGCCAAGCCGGTAAGTAGTATAATAAGCGGCAGGATATGTTCCTCTACGAACATCCTGTGTATCTACCTTCGCAAGAGCAGATTATCATATAAAGGCATTTAAATTCAGGTAGTCTTTCTTCACTTAATAGAAAACTTATCGATTCAGAAATATCAAATCAATAATCTTATGATACAATAGGCCACCTAGTGGCTTGTTGTCATCAAAATAATGTTTTATATATTGGCGTGTAGGGGTTTGATTGATTGGCTATAGGATTTCATCATGAGATGGCATCAGTTAGAGAACCATTGGAAAATCTGTTAGGGAGTACTGGGCAGCTGTTTCGCTAGCCTAGCTTGGGACTCTTTAGCAGTACGCAACCACAAGGGTTCGAACCCCGTAGGCTCATGATGAAATCCTGTAACCAATCAATCAAATCCCAACAAACGAATACTTGAACATCAATGAAATGCTCACTAGCGACTGGCCCTATTCAGGTAAGTAGTTACTTGGGGTTCTAGTGAGACGTCGTGACCAGTAGGGTGCAGCAGGTCGGGTGTGAGGACGAATACTCACCGAAGACATTGGCTAGTATCAGTCGTGCTATGTTGTGAATTGGTAGAAGTTGGAATTCATGGGTTGGCCATTGGATCTGGTACCAGTGGCTCAATGGTGTACGACCTAGCTCGCCAGAAGGTCCCGGGTTCGAACTTTTGCGGTGGATGCGTACTGATT